GCAGACTCCTATGGTCTTTGTCATGCCAAACATTGATTGAGAAAAACTGATCTGCGACCAAGCTGTCACTACTAATTATAAACTTGATACGTCCCCATATTCACAACAGGAAGCAGGTTTGAATGGATTTGCATAGCAGCGACATGGTTCACAGTCACAGACATAATGGTACACACATTCCAGGCAGTTCTGTGCCCTTTGTGAGACGGGAAATCCCAGGAATGAAAGGCCATGGCTACATCCCAAATGGCACCCTATTCACTACATAGTGCACTACTTTTGACCAGGGTAGTGCTACTTTTGACCAGAGCCCTATGGGCCAGGAGGAGAATATTGATGAGGCTGGGGAGGACCAGGGGAGTCCGGGCAGTTTGGAGGGGTGGGAACTGAGGGACAGCAGTGACAGGCGTGACAGTGAAGAGGGATAGGGTGGGAACAGGGGAGCTACGGTATGGGGGGACTGGGCTGGAGGAGGGGTGGTAGCCTTTCATGAACCATCCTGATCTTGCAAACTTAAAGGCCTAGTGCAGTCAAAAACGTGATTGTCCTGTGTTTTATATATACAGTATTTCCACACTATGAGGTTGTAATAATACTCTGAAATTGTGAAAATTATGTTAATGCCCTTTTAGTGTAAGAGCTGTTTGAAAAGACTGCCTGAAATGTCAGCCTGTTTTGGTGGGATGGTGTTTTAGCCTGCCTGGTGACATTAGTTCATAGACCAATAAGAAAGAAAGTTCCAAACCTCTGACAATAACAGCTAGTTTTCAGTTTTTCCCTCCCCACTAAGACCACTCCTAGAAAGTCCTAGCAAAATTCTTGCTTGAGAAATTGCTCTTTGCTAAGAAGCTATTTTTGTTTATTTTTGACAATACAGTAAGGTAATTAATTGTTACCCGGAAATGATTTGGTATCAAGATAAAAACAGCAGCAATGGACGAGGCTAGAGGGGTGGGGGCACGAGGGACTGATGAGACTGGGGAATCACAGCCGGGTCCAGGGGAGGGGGGCTGGGTGGGGGGACTGAGGGGTGACAGTGAGAGGGGCTGGAGAGTCACATGGGGGCTGAGAGACAGGGGTGATAGTGAGGATAGCTGGTGGGTGGGAACAGGGGAGCTATGGTGTGGGGGCCACAGGACTGGGGGACAGGGGGGTTACTATTACAGTGTGATGATGGGGTTTGAATCTTTCAGTCTTCTCTCACAACCAGCATAAAGACGGTTGTTGTCACAGTAACCTGATCTGTGATTGCTATACTGTAGGACTCACTTCATCACCTGGCTATGTTCCATAATGTTACTGTACTCTTATCTTACTGTGTACAGGCTCAGCACTACCAACCTATGCCCTCAAGGCTTTATTAGACATTCTTCACAGTTTCGGTGCTGTGGCATCACCCATAAGAGGACTTTCCACCATGTAAAAATAAGCACATTTGCTTAGAGTTCTGACAAGAACTTCTAATAGGCCTATAAATAATCCTTTGTGAAATGTTTTTCACTTTCACTTTCGGTAACAATGACTGTACATGTATGTTTATCGAAGGAAACATTGAAAATGACATTATCCTGCCTACTTATCAGGTTTCTGGTCAAATAAAGTCAACACCAATGCCACCACTACCTTATGGACTTGTGAAATCTCCAGTACCTGGTCTGTTGTCTCCATCTACTGGTCTTTATTGTGCATTACAGTCAGTGGGTACTGGGCAGGATCGTTTCCACAGGCGTTCCCACTTACTGACGAACAGATAAATCATAACTATACAATGCTGACCTCTGGAGGCAATTATTTCGGTTTGTTGAGCCCATAGAAATAGATGACTATAGTGCACAAAAGCCTGTTTTAGCATGCGCAGCGCCAGGGCTCGCGCCAGAACAAATCAGTTGGACAGGCATTTGATTTCCATTGGGGAGCACGTTTTTTTCATGGAACCTCCTATGTGTGCATGCGCTTGATCGTGCACAAATTATTTTCATGGGTGTAATTATAAAACCATAGGGTGGCAGGTAGCCTAGCGGTTAAGAGTGTTGGGCCAATAACGGAAAGGTTGCTGGTTCGAATCTCTGAGCCGACTATGTGAAAAATCTTTCGATGTTCCCTTGAGCAAGGCATTCAACCCTAATTGTTCTGGATAAGAGCGTCTGCTAAATGACTAAGATGTAGGCGGCATGCGTGAGTTTCAAGTTTGGGGAAGCTTACAATTTATCCTACCGATCTGCACGCCAGTTATGATTTTTTTGGGGAACAGTTTCATTTCAATAATGACAGCCTATAACTTCCATCATCAACTACGTAAAATACATAGGCCTAAAGCTGACAAATAAAAACCTGATGAAAATTCAGGACAGGTTCTTTCAATGAATTCATATTTCTATTCCGCCTGTCTGCCCCCTTTTCTACAGTATCTGTTTTCAGCTATCGCTAGTGAAGTGCGACATTAACCACGTTTCCATCCACAGTTTTTATGCGAATAGTCATATTGTATAAAAAGAAATCAGGACAGCTGTGATGGAAACAGGAAGTCTCGGTGTCATTTTATAAATGCCGACAGATAATTTGTTTGTTAGACATGGTGGGATCTTTTTGTGTTCGTAAAATTAATTATGCAGGAAATGGCGGTGGAAACACCTTTATTCGCAAATATGTATATAATAAACATCATATCAAAGTATTTGGAGTCACGCAATGATATGGTGTGTGGTTCTCCGACTACGACTCGGGAAACCATGCAGTTTATTAGGCTACAGATGAAATAAGTTATGATAAACCTCACAGGGTGGTGTAAGTGCACGGTGATGAGTTTGATGCTGCTTTCCAATAAATATTGAGGGTCTTATTCTGGTGACATGATGATCGATGCTTGACTGCCATTTGACAAAAAAAAAATGTCTCACTCTTATCCATAATAATCTCATCATGTAGATAGCCTACCCGCACTGTATCTGTGAGCTGTTGGCTAAAGCGCATGTGCCAAGACCAGAGTAGGCACATTTGCTATTTAACGCAACAGTTTTTGTGACAAAACTATGGTAGAGTTGAAAATATAATGGAAACACATTGAACTTTAGATTTTTTACTCGAAAAAGTAAATTTTACAGTATGTGCACTATGTCATTACGCACTGATTTTTACCCCCAAACCAAAGTTGCGCCTCTGGTGGGAAAATGCGCATATTTTCTTTATGCAGATTCTAGAATATTGGCATTAAAATCTGTTGCCAATTGGATGGAAACCTAGCTAGTGTATCAAATCAATCAACTGGGTCCAACCCAAAGCTGTCACTAGGGAACTTGCAACATTGTATCATCTAGCCATTTTCCGGGCCCTCAGTGTTTCTAATGCCAGTGAGCTCAGGACAGACAGCTGTTTTTGTGCAAGGGAAAAGTGTTCAGGTATTTTATTAAGTGTACACTGGATATAGGCTATGGGATCATCAGATCAGGCTTCGTGATTATCGAGACCGGGAGAGTGTTGGAAAGATTTTTCAAATACTTTGAGGAACTATAATCATTCGACATGGATGTTAAAAAAACATACGTCCATGAATGTTAAAAAAACAGACTTCGTTGACTTGCTGTGTGAGGTGAAGAATAAATGACTGAGAAGCTCAACTTATTAGTGGTGGACGTGGTGAGTTAAGACAATCAGAAATCAGATATAGAAAGTGCCCATTTGGGGATATTTGCGCGCAGCCGGCCAGGTAGGCTACTTCTATGTGCACTTAGGCGTGCGCGCTCCCTCAACATTATCAGGACAGAGAAACCAGACACACGCTCCCTTAACATTATCAGGACAGAGAAACCAGACACATGTTCATTGCTCACGTGGAGCACCCCAAACAAAATATATTTACATTTTACATTTTCATCATTTAGCAGACACTCTTATCCAAAGCAACTTACAAATTGGTGCCCCCTCGCTTCGCTTCTTCCTCTCTGCTGAAACTATCTCACAGGATAAAGCATCCGAGCGAGCGAAACAGCGCCCCTCTGTTTTACTATATCTAGTCCATGTATCTGTCCAGACAGCATCAGATACATGGTCTACATATACTGAGACAGAGGGGCGCTGTTTCGCTCGCTCGGATGCTTTATCTGAGATTGATGCGTCTTTCTGCACCCCCTGAAAAATCTTTTTTTTTTTTTAAACGTTTTTAAAAAAGTAGTGCACTGGGCCTTTACTAGTCCTGTATTAAATGATCGATATAGCCGTCTGTAGCGGCAGAAAATGTTTAAAAAAATAAACATAGCAGTACCCCCACCCCTGAACTTCTTCCTGCAGCCAATTAATTATACTTCTGAGCAAACATTCCATAACTGCATGTGGCAGCAGATCGCCAACCTTGGCTTTATACCTGTTCAACAACAACACGCTCCAGGTGGCAGTATGCACCCTTTCAGTTGGTTTGCCAACTTATAGATGTAGTAGAAGCAGAATAACATTTATTGAAAATGGAGATGGCCTCCATGGCGCTGCCCATGCTCTCACAGATACAAAGATGCGATGTCTATCTAAGTCTATGGTTGAGCCCCCAACTTGATCTACAGTAGGCATGTTCTTGTTCATGTTCATGAACTGTTCCATCAAACTAAGCCTACACATAAAACCTACACATAAAACATACAGGTAGGCTAGCCTACAGTAGGTAACCTACACAAATTGTTACATTTTATACTGTAATGACTGATGCAAAGTGCAGCTACACAGTTGTTACACGCTACCTATGCACAATCTAAAGAGTTGCAACGATAATAACCTGTGCATAACCTTACCTGCTGCTCATGTATTTACCATTATGTAAATAGTTGCAACTCTCTGTGTGCATGTGTGTTGTGTGTGTCCACGCGCGTGCATAAGTGTACTGGGAGAACCTGTCCTATAGCATCACCCCGCGAGCCACACACACACCTCTGATTGGTTTATCCTTCCACTCCTTGCCAATCAGAGAGCTCCGCTCGCTCCACCCGCCACATCATATGAATGACGCACCGACGTAGCCGGAATTCCGCATCCTGATGTCAATGGGATTGCATTGCCTATTCCTTGCCCATAGGGAGCTGTTGCTGACCGGCAACCAGCTGTTGTCAATTTTGCGCTCGTCAGATCCAGCTGTTTTATTCTGAACTCTGAAGGCAAGACAGACACGACAGACTGGCGATAAACCACTAATCGACCGCTCTGATGCTCGGAGTTGGACGACTGCCACTTATTTAAACACCTCGAAGATTAGAACTAGAGAACACTCAAAGCGAGGAATTCCAGAGTAACAGAAATATGAATTTGTTTGGGGTTCTGAATTTGGACGAACTGTCCCATGGACTGGCTGGTCTGTCCATGTTTCCATACTTTGACACGGCGCACTACATTGTCTCAGTGATGGCGCTGCGAGAACAGCCAGGTAAGCAAAGAACATTCAGTAGCTGGTTGAATTTGACAGGTCTAGCTCACTACAGTAGGCTAGTTAAAACTGTTATAAAGCTTAATCTACTAGCCTATTGCATGTTTTGCTTCGTTACTTTCCATATTTTAATGACAATAAGGCAAGGCTTGAAGGCTACACTTTTTGCTTCCTTATGACAGAATTCAGCCTTGACACCGGACGTATATCCTGTACGCGTTCGATTAAACGTGCGAGAACGTGAAACTTGAGAGAACATTCCACACAATTCTACATTTTTGGCCACGTTGAATGTTGACTTAGTCTACCATCATGTTTTCTTTTTCTAAATAGCCACAGCTGGATGGCATAATAATCTTAGGGAATGGATTACTGCTGAACGATGTGGGATTAATTTGAGAATTGAGATCCCTCATATTACAAAGTGACATATTTATGCTTCAGTCCTAGCGAAATCTATTTATGGTTTATCTATTTGCCCAGTTGAAATTAATAAGGTCAAGTCACACCACTTTTGCACCCTTGAAGTTTTTAAACATGCCTCTGGAAGTTCATATAGTGGACAAAATAAATGTGTTACACACACACACAATCCCACTCCCACAAACATAGTGAGATAGTGTATTGTGCTGTATCAGGGCGTGCGGACTAATTACTTAAGATAAAAACTGTAGCCTGAACTGTATGTAACAGGAGACTTGCAGCTATAAGATTTTTGATACTCAGTGCTTGAGATGGGAGGCGAGAGAGACCCATCAATAATTGAATGGGCCTCCTCTCTGGTTCTGTTTGGGCATCAAGACTGCCTCAAGACTCACTGATGAAAAACATGAACCAAATGTAGATAATAACACAGAATGTGCAATTTAGAGAACACAAACAACTACTGTAGCGTATTCTTCATGAATCACGATAATGTTGTTTACGATAAGCTTAAAGGTCAATGAAAGTAAACTAGTCAATGGCATGGCTGTATTGACGTCATAGAGATATTATCTTAACATTTAGAACATCACATTATCACTGGCACTATCCATTGTGATATAGGTAGTAGCAACAGTACAGGCCTACTGTACTTCGGGTTACCTGATACTATGTCAATACCTTTATGTTTATATGTCACTCTTATAGTGGCTCAGTCTAGAGACAGGTGGACTTTTACAGCTTCAATGTTGACCTTTTCCCCAAACAAACCAGACCTGAGTTCAAATACTATTCAAAATATTTTTAAAATATTTTAAGCATTTACTGTAGTCTGTCTGGAGTGCCAGATGCATAGTTGTATTTTTGTGACTATTCTATTGGTTCCATTGCGGCAGGCAAGCTCAATCAAGCCCAGATAAAGAATTTGAAATGATATCAAATAGTACTTGAACCCAGGTCTGAAACAAACAGCAGGGTTAGAGCAGTGTGGTTTCACTGACTTCTGTGGCATCTCATTCCCTCTGGCCTGTCAATACCTCAGCCTCTGCTGATCCTATAGCCTATGGGCTGCATCCCAAATGGCACCGTATTCCCTATATAGTGCACTACTTTTGACCAGGGCCCATAGGGCTCTGGTCAAATGTAGTGCACTAAATTTGGAATAGGGTGCCAATTGGGGTACAGTCTATATCTCCAACAGGCTTCCTGGGTGTGAGTGATTGGTGGATTGAGTAATGGAGGGGGTTGCCCTCATGCAGTTTCCCTCTGCTGTCAACCTCCCAAAATATCACAGGGTCACCCAACACATACCAAGGTCCTCATATAACCCCTCCTCTGGGTGTGTGGAGAATGTGTGTGTGTGTGTGTTTGACACGATATGGTCATAGCCTTGCCTCTATTATTATGGCTTCTACAACACAGAAAGCCATAGTAATGGAATCTACAGCCATATCAGGGATCCATTCTAGAACTCAAGCCACAGACAACACTGGAGCTTATTAGATTCCAAGTTCCAACTCATCTTTCCCCCAGAAAGGAAAGGAATGTTCCAAAATAACCTGTTATTTTCCCCTCTGTCTTCCATCCTGTTCTGGCTGGCCTTTATTTTTAGACAGCACTGGATCTTGTCATGATTCCCACAAAGCACTCAGACGTTTTAATGGAAATAACTAGAACATTGTATACTTAGAGCCTCTTGAAAAGCACCACTGATAGGTAGTTAGGCCTCTACCCTTTAGTGTTTATTATAGAGTTATAAAAAAGTAAGTATTTTTCATGAGCACTTGTATTTATACAGCAGAGTTATCTCAAGCAGTGTCCAAACACACTTCAGAGACAGGGATTACACCACATTCTGTTCCTTCCTGTTTGGAGAGAGAGCACGTGAAATATCACAGACTGGGGCCAACTCTACTCACCACAACTAACTACATAGCAGCACAACACCAGAAGGCAGACTGCAGAGCTGTGCAGTTTCTCTCGTCTTTACTTTACACATAACTATCCAAGGAGGCCAGCCTGCAGCCTGACAGTGAGGTCAGATTTGACTTGTAAATGCCCTCTGAATGCAAAATCTGCTAGTAACCAAGGTCTCTCGAGGCATGGTGGTCATGGTGAAGTGTACAGTGTCACCTGCACAACCTAAAAAGCTAAACCTCTCTGCAGGGTTACTGTTTCGGCTGGTGTCATGACTGAGTGCGCGATGAGAGATTGGATTCCAGCAAGCATTCCTTTTTTGGGTGTAATTTGTCACACTGTACCTGTCCAAATGCAGAAGTAAAGAGTTCCCAAAAATGTCACAATGGAAACATTATAAACACTTCCTATCTTTTATTGGGACTGTATATTCAACAGGCAAATACTGTGATTCATGCAAGGAGAAGCACAACACTTTACATGACGTAATTCAAACATTTAAGGTTTTCTCTGGGGACTCTTGAAGCAAAAACAAAATCTTGGACACATTCTTTTAGGCTCTCAGCAAAGTAGCAACAACCCACTCAATGAATATCCCTAGCATAACCAGTTCACCCATTCTCAAGCTTCAATAATTACAGATATGCAGTGGAACGTATTAGTTGACAAAACCTCTCTTGTTTGCTTATGCTGAATGGGTGGCAGCAGCCTTCCTTCATTTCTGTTGCTTGGCTGGCTGTTAGTCTGTGCTGCTTTTATAGCACTCAAGGCATGAACTGCTTTTAAACTACAGGAAGCTCATCACAGCTAATTTCACACACTGCTGCTGTATGTGGCAAAACGCACTGCTGTAGACCTTTGTGACAAAATAACCAACTCTGTTTCTCTGCTGTCTGATCAGTTCTCATGAAAGAAAGAAATCCTCTCTCTAAACACTGCTACATTTTAACACCTACAGTAGATGTTGTGTACACATTTACATACATGTCATTAAACTAACTATCTGTACTATTATCATTGAAGTCTTTGTATAGGCATATTCATGAATGTTGTGCCTTTGGTTATGTTACAGGTTACAGTATGTTTTCCAGTAGACAGGTATGTTATTACTTCATAAGTACAACTTATTACTACATGTCATTACCATAACCATCCCATCCACCTGCTATAGTAATCCATCCAGAGTCATACAGTATGTATAGACTGTATACAGTATATGGCTCTGAGTAAACTCATCTTCAGGGATCCACTGTTGATACAAATCTTCTATCCAGAAGGCTTTGTCCCAGATCTGATGCATGGCTACTGCGTTTTTGTTAATTTATTTATGACCTTTATTTAACCTAGCCTAGTCCCAGATCTGTTTGTGTGGACTTGCCAACTGTTTGGTGTGACAACTCTCATAGGAGTTGGTAAGAGAGCACAAACAGATCTGGGACCAGGCTATATTTAACCAGGTAGGTGAAATATTTAACCATAACAACCTGGTAAGCTTTGTTGTGTCAGTGATCTGGAGGAGCCATGGTTATACCTCTTCTCCTCCTGCTATCACAGTGATATAACTGTTTACTAAGCTTGTTAAGAGGTTACTAAGACTGTTATAGCCTTCCGTCAATTGACTACGACCTGCTTTCAATTGATGGTTTGCATGATGGCAGTTCTTTTGATTAGTGACGTTGTTGATGTGCTGTAACCACGACTTCAGTTGCAACATGAACTACCTTGCTCCAACGGCAAACACTGGCGACCATGTAGGCTGTCAGTTCTGATGTATGTATGTGTTCAGATGGGTACTGTTGCGCAAAGCTGGCTGTCCATTTGTAGTGAACTGTGATGCACAAAATACATTTTCATCAGCTACTGAATGGTTGTGCAAATGGTTGTTTGGTGACGCCTGAGATTTGGAGTTGTGAGGAACCATTGGTGTTTGTTTTGTGTGTATGTGTGTTGTTTATTTGCGTGTATTTGGTGTTTCTTTGTGTGTGTGTGTGTGTCAACTGTGTACTGTAGCTCACCCTCTCTTGGAAACAGGTAATCACTAATCCGTATTGGTGGATCTATGTCATGTGATGTTTATTGATGTTATGTATACAGAGTGCGCCAGATGCCCTGTGATTAATAATTACACTGCAGATACTGTTGTAGTTCCTCATGTAAAACCTCTCTCCCCTAACCACTGTTGGATGTGTGGTTGTCTGTTGGAGTTTTGTCTAGGGGTAGCGTAGCATTGTTGCTACCAACTCCAGACCACACATTGCCACAGAAGATCTGCATGGATTTGATCTCTCTCTCCACTGTTTCCAATTTATCCTGTCAATAAAACCCTCAAAATACAGAAAAAATAGATTATTTATTTGAGAAAACACAACAGGATAAACACTACTGTCGTTTAATTATTGAAACAATGGGAAGAGCATATGTAGTTACCGTAGGCCTACTCTGCAGTCTTATAAAGGAAACCTTAGTTGTGTTCAGGAGATAGAACTCTAAATAACATGGCTTCCTAGTTGTGCTCAGGACAGGAGGCTTCCTTGCCTGCCTCTCCAGGAGTCTTTAATCTGTCTTTAATCCCTCAGATTAACCAGGCTGGCACTACAGGATTTGGTTAGCGTGGGGCTAACCTTGAGACCAGGAAGTAGACTACTTGGGAACTGGCAAATGAAGACGAGGAAGGGCCAGAGCCTTAGTGCTATATATGGCTCTGAGAAGGGCCTCATCTGTGTATGTCCTATGCTCACATGGTGGACTGGAGTGGTAGGAACTTGATCCTGCACATCAGCAGACTCCATCACCATCGTTAATCACCACCTCCCTCCACTCAAGCCGTTTACTTTTTTACCCGCTCCATCTTTGGTGATCAAGTGGTAGCAACTTGATCTTGTACTTGACTAGTAACATTTCACCATGTGAGCATACTATATTTAGCCATTGATCATAACATTTATTTGTCAGAATAGGTTGGGTTTATTAGCTTGCTTGCCACACTGTTTGTGGTGTAATGACCTTTTGGCTGACCTGAGTGACCCAACTGCCTGTGTCTGTCCCTAATACATAGAAGTGTTTCTTAATACTTGATCCTAGTTGATCTAGAAGTCCTTCCTTTGAGGCAGTGTCTATAGTCTGACTGAGAGTGAAGGAACACAATGCTGAAAGGCTTGGGATATGGGGTGACAATACACTTATCTTAATTGAGCAGATACCAGCACTAACCAACAAACGACGTTTGAGCTCTTAACTCTGCACTTTACTCTGAAGTCCTAGAAAACTGATTTTCATATCTGTAGAAAAATGTGTGTAGGCGAGATGAGCACATATCCTAGTCCTGGGGCTGACCTGGTTCTCAGTTCTATATCTTCTGAAGTTAATATTTAAACTGCCCTGGACACATTGTGTTATATGCTATGTTGTACTTTACTTTACTTAGTTTTAGATCAACTAAACTAACCGCTGGTGGCTGGGTTTCAGGAGCCCTGGAGGTGGCGCGGAGGAGCCCGTTTGCCTGCTGGTTCAGTTCCATGCTGTACTGCTTCGGAGGGGGCATTCTCTCTGGTCTCATGATGGCTGAGGCCCCCATAGCCTTCCTGTCCAACAGCACCAGCGTTCTCATGGCCTCGGTCATATGGTGAGTCCTCTATTAGCTTTCAGAGCGAGAGGGAGGTAGGGGAGAGGGGACAGAGAAAGAGAGGGAGGCCCCCATAGCCCCTCTGTCGAACAGCACCAATGTCCTCATGGCCTCGGTCATCTGGTGAGTGGAGGAGGGGGGGGGGGGGAGAGAGAGAGAAGGAGGGAGGCAAGGAGAGAGATGGAGAGAGAGATGGGGGGAGAGAGAGCGAGGAATCACAGAACAACATAGCCCAACATGCAGTGTCTCTGGGAAAGACATTAGAATACACACTAGAATACTGTGTAGATTGCAGTCAGTGGACCCTGAACCAATGGACCATAGATTCTCTATGAGGCTCTCAGTCTGGATACACAACACAGCAGGCGAAAGGGCCGATGAAGTCATATTCGTGTTGGTCATTGGAAACTACTCATGTTAATGATTGTGCTATTTTTGGCCCGGTAATAGGGGGATGTCTGATGAACCAGAGCAACTGGTGTGAGACTGAATAAAATAGCATCCATTAAACTCCCAGATTTAAAAAACAAAAAAACATCCACAATGCTTCCTTTTCAATACCGTAGTGTTTTAGTGCCCTCTGCTGGGGGGAACCCAACATGCATATCCAACATTTGCTTACTGACTGTTGAGCTGTGCTATACATTATTTAAACATGGACATTTACAGTGGGGAAAAAAAGTATTTAGTCAGCCACCAATTGTGCAAGTTCTCCCACTTAAAAAGATGAGAGAGGCCTGTAATTTTCATCATAGGTACACGTCAACTATGACAGACAAAATGAGGAAAAAAAATCCAGAAAATCACATTGTAGGAATTTTTATGAATTTATTTGCAAATTATGGTGGAAAATAAGTATTTGGTCAATAACAAAAGTTTCTCAATACTTTGTTATAAACCCTTTGTTGGCAATGACACAGGTCAAATGTTTTCTGTAAGTCTTCACAAGGTTTTCACACACTGTTGCTGGTATTTTGGCCCATTCCTCCATGCAGATCTCCTCTAGAGCATTGATGTTTTGGGGCTGTCGCTGGGCAACACGAACTTTCAACTCCCTCCAAAGATTTTCTATGGGGTTGAGATCTGGAGACTGGCTAGGCCACACCAGGACCTTGAAATGCTTCTTACGAAGCCACTCCTTCATTGCCCGGGTGGTGTGTTTGGGATCATTGTCATGCTGAAAGACCCAGCTACGTTTCATCTTCAATGCCCTTGCTGATGGAAGGAGGTTTTCACTCAAAATCTCACGATACATGGCCCCATTCTTTCCTTTACACGGATCAGTCGTCCTGGTCCCTTTGCAGAAAAACAGCCCCAAAGCATGATGTTTCCACCCCCATGCTTCACAGTAGGTATGGTGTTCTTTGGATGCAACTCAGCATTCTTTGTCCTCCAAACACAACGAGTTGAGTTTTTACCAAAAAGTTCTATTTTGGTTTCATCTGACCATATGACATTCTCCCAATCCTCTTCTGGATCATCCAAATGCACTCTAGCAAACTTCAGACGGGGCTGGACATGTACTGGCTTAAGCAGGGGGACACGTCTGGCACTGCAGGATTTGAGTCCCTGGCGGCGTAGTGTGTTACTGATGGTAGGCTTTGTTACTTTGGTCCCAGCTCTCTGCAGGTCATTCACTAGGTCCCCCCGTGTGGTTCTGGGATTTTTGCTCACCGTTCTTGTGATCATTTTGACCCCACGTGGTGAGAACTTGCGTGGAGCCCCAGATCGAGGGAGATTATCAGTGGTCTTGTATGTCTTCCATTTCCTAATAATTGCTCCCACAGTTGATTTCTTCAAACCAAGCTGCTTACCTATTGCAGATTCAGTCTTCCCAGCCTGGTGCAGGTCTACAATTTTGTTTCTGGTGTCCTTTGACAGCTCTTTGGTCTTGGCCATAGTGGAGTTTGGAGTGTGACTGTTTGAGGTTGTGGACAGGTGTCTTTTATACTGATAACAAGTTCAAATTACATTGTGTAATTAGTTGAGGACAGAGGAGCCTCTTAAAGAAGAAGTTACAGGTCTGTGAAAGCCAGAAATCTTGCTTGTTTGTAGGTGACCAAATACTTATTTTCCACCATAATTTGCAAATAAATTCATAAAAATTCCTACAATGTGATTTTCTGGATTTTTTTTCCTCATTTTGTCTGTCATAGTTGACGTGTACCTATGATGAAAATTACAGGCCTCTCTCATCTTTTTAAGTGGGAGAACTTGCACAATTGGTGGCTGACTAAATACTTTTTTTCCCCACTGTAAGAACCTGTCTTTGTCAAATCAAATCAAGCTTTATTTATACAGCACATTTCAGACATGGAATGCAACGCAATGTGTTTTACAGGAAAAAACTATGAAAAAACTATGAAAATAAAAGCTGAAATATTTACTACACAACAAGCATAAGATAAAAAAAACTAAATAGTGACACAAACTGAACAACTAAAAAGCACCCTAAGGAAAAGCAAAGCAAAACATATGTGTTTTAAGATCTCTTTTAAATATGTCCACAGTTTCGGCTCCCCTCAGGTTCTCTGGCAGGCTATTCCAGAGGCTGGGGGCATAACCACTGAAGGCTGCCTCTCCATGCCTCTTGGTCCTAGGCTTTGAGATAGTTAAAAGGTCAGAGCCAGAGGACCTGAGGGACCTACTGGGTACATAACTTAAAAGCATGTCTGACATGTATTGGGGTGCACAATCGTGAATTGATTTAAAAACCAACTGAAGAATCTTAAAATGAATTATAAAACTCACAGGCAGCCAGTGCAGAGACCTGAAAACCGGTGTAATGTGTGCTCTCCGTCTGGTCTTGGTCAGTACCCGTGCTGCAGCATTCTGTATGTTTTGCAGTTGACCAATGGCTTTCTTGGGTAGACCAGACAGGAGAGCATTACAGTAGTCAAGCCTGCTTGTAGTAAAAGCATGGATGAGTCTCTCTGTATCAGCCTGAGAGAGAAACGGCCGCACATTGGCAATGTTCCTCAGGTGGTAAAAAGCTATTTTGTTCACATTCCTAATGTGTGATTTGAAATTTAGTTCAGAATCTAAAATAACACCTACGTTTTTTATATTTTTTGCCCATGAATTAAAATGTGCGGCTATATTCTCTCTGTGCTTTGGCTCCAACAATAAGTACCTCGGTCTTGTCTTGATTTAGCTGGAGGAGGTTGTGAGCCATTGAAGTATTTAAATCACTAATACAGTCTAGTAATTTATCCGTGGAGCTAAAATCCTCTGGTGACACAAATGTAAAGTTGTTTATCGTCTGCATAGAAGTGAAAATCAATGCTGTGCTTTCTGATAATGCTGCCAAGGGGTAACATACACTGCTCAAAAAAATAAAGGGAACACTAAAATAACACATCCTAGATCTGAATGAATGAAATAATCTTATTAAATACTTTTTTCTTTACATAGTTGAATGTGCTGACAACAAAATCACACAAATTATCAATGGAAATCAAATTTATCAACCCATGGAGGTCTGGATTTGGAGTCACCCTCAAAATTAAAGTGGAAAACCACACTACAGGCTGATCCAACTTTGATGTAATGTCCTTAAAACAAGTCAAAATTAGGCTCAGTAGTGTGTGTGGCCTCCACGTGCCTGTATGACCTCCCTACAATGCCTGGGCATGCTCCTGATGAGGTGGCGGATGGTCTCCTAAGGGATCTCCTCCCAGACCTGGACTAAAGCATCCGCCAACTCCTGGACAGTCTGTGGTGCAACGTGGCGTTGGTGAATGGAGCGAGACATGATGTCCCAGATGTACTCAATTGGATTCAGGTCTGGGGAATGGGCGTGCCAGTCCATAGCATCAATGCCTTCCTCTTGCAGGAACTGCTGACACACTCCAGCCACATGAGGTCTAGCATTGTCTTGCATTAGGAGGAACCCAGGGCCAATGGCAGTCAGGCTACCTCTGGCGAGCACATGGAGGGCTGTGCGGCCCCCCAAAGAAATGCCACCCCACACCATGACTGACCCACCGCCAAACCGGTCATGCTGGAGGATGTTGCAGGCAGCAGAACGTTCTCCACGGCATCTCCAGACTCTGTCACGTGCTCAGTGTGAACCTGCTTTCATCTGTGAAGAGCACAGGGCGCCAGTGGCGAATTTGCCAATCTTGGTGTTCTCTGGCAAATGCCAAACGTCCTGCACGGTGTTGGGCTGTAAGCACAACCCCAACCTGTGGACGTCGGGCCCTCATACCACCCTCATGGAGTCTGTTTCTGACCGTTTGAGCAGACACATGCACATTTGTGGCCTGCTGGAGGTCATTTTGCAGGGCTCTGGCAGTGCTCCTCCTGCTCCTCCTTGCACAAAGGCAGAGGTAGCAGTCCTGCTGCTGGGTTGTTGCCCTCCTACGGCCTCCTCCACGTCTCCTGATGTACTGGCCTGTCTCCTGGTAGCGCCTCCATGCTCTGGACACTACGCTGACAGACACAGCAAACCTTCTTGCCACAGCTCGCATTGATGTACCATCCTGGATGAGCTGCACTACCTGAGCCACTTGTGTGGGTTGTAGACTCCGTCTCATGCTACCACTAGAGTGAAAGCACCGCCAGCATTCAAAAGTGACCAAAACATCATCCAGGAAGCATAGGAACTGAGAAGTGGTCTGTGGTCACCACCTGCAAAACCAGTCCTTTATTGGGGGTGTCTTGCTAATTGCCTATAATTTCCACCTGTTGTCTATTCCATTTGCACAACAGCATGTGACATTTATTGTCAATCAGTGTTGCTTCCTAAGTGGACAGTTTGATTTCACAGAAGTGTGATTGACTTGGAGTTACATTGTGTTGTTTAAGTGTTCCCTTTATTTTTTTGAGCAGTGTATATAAACTGAACCGTACCGGACCCAGAATCAAACCTTGTGGAACGCCACATGTGATATGTATTTTCTCTGAGTTATGTTCCCCAAGGGTGACAAACTCTCGACCAGTTAAATAAAACCAATTTAGAACTGGACCGGAGAGGGCCAACACACCTGTCCAGAAGGACATCATGGTCAACAGTGTCGAATGTAGCACTTAAATCTAAGAGTACAAAGACAGAGAGCTGTTTGGCATCTGTGTTTGCTCTAAGATCATTTACCATTTTAACTAAGGCTGTCTGTGCTGTGGTGGGCACGAAATCCAGATTGGATTATTATATTTTCTTATTCAATTTCAGTTCCCTTGTGGATTTCAGTAGGCCTAGTGGTGTTCTGATGACATACACTTGAGCTAGTGTAACAGAATATGCAAATAAATTGGTAAATCACCACACAGGAATGGACAATTAGCCAATTAGTCAGACCATTAGCCATGCTCCAGCCTGAGAAGATGAATTACTGTATAACTGGGTCGCAGAACATGTTAAGCCTGGTCCCAGATCTGTTTGTGCTGTATATGTTTACCATGACAATGTTGACCATGGGATTTGGCAAGACGGCACAAACTGATCTGGGACCAGGCTAGAATGTGAAATCATTCAAATACACTCAAGTCAAACTGTTATTTATGTCATCATTGAGAAAACAAACACAAACCCTACAGACTAAAGTCTGACGATTTCATAAGTGTTCGATGAAAAGCTTTTTATTTTTTATCTCCGTTATAAGGATGTGGATTGGAGGAACAAGGCGTTTTGCTGTTCACTACTTCCTGAATGTATATTTGCAGGGTTGTGGTTGTGGGAAGAATTGAGTAAAATACCGCCCTCTGCTGTCCAAATAGAAGATTGCTGTTAACAGACAGTATAGCTGGGGATTTACTACAGTAAACTGAATGTAAACATAGAGCTCATTCTCAAATGTCTACCGGTCTGTATGTATGTGTGTGTGCGTGTGTGCATACATTTCTGTTTGAGTCCTGGCTTGGATGCATATGTGCGTGTGTGTGTGTGTGTATTCTAGGTACCTGGTGTTCTACTGCCCCCAGGACGTGGTGTACTCCTGTACCGCCCTCTTCCCCTTGCGTCTGGTGCTGACGGGCATGAAGGAGATGACCCGCACATGGAAGGTCCTGGGGGGTGTGGCTCAGGCACACAGCAAGTACAAGGATGGCCTGCTGGTGATGATCGCTATAGGATGGGCTAAAGGTAGGCCTACAGTACACACATACATGCACGCACACACACAACAACAACAAGTACAAGAATGGACTGCTGTTGATGATCGCTATAGGATGGGTTAAAGGTACAGTAGGCTACCACTGTTTATAATATACTGTATACTGACAAGCATCTATTGTAAATGCAATCCACACAAGCATACAGTCTGATAACCATACAGATTCTGACAACCTCTGGCCACCATACACTATGCTAAGGTACCACTGTTTGTGTATACAGACAAGCATGTGAAATATGCCCATATACACACAGATACATAAAACGCTCTCTCTCACATTCATAAAGTATACTCAACATCTAGTTTTGATTTACGTTTGGTTCAGTTGTCAAACGAAAGAACGTTGATTCAACCAGTTTTTGCCCAGAGGTACGTTGTGTGCAAATCAATTTGGAAAGTAAAGCCTTGTTGGTAGTCATTCATAAGACAGGTTTGAGGAATGTAATGGATATCAAACCCATTACTATTGTCGTTGTTAATGTCCTGAGCTTTGGTCTTTACAAAAGGTTAGCTTGACACTAATTATGATCCTGAAAATGATAGTGTAGCTGTAAATAACAAGCAGCCCAGATGCCTTTACACACATTACATTCTTAGTATTTATTTAGCCACAAACCTTTTAGACTAATTACTAAAGAATATAAGGCTACTAGCCTGGTCCCAGATCTGTTTGTGCTGTATAGCAAACTCATATGGTTGTTGTCATGCCAAACAGACCACTGGAGCTGGCAAGATTGCACAAACAGATCTGGGATCAGGCTATACAGGCTACTATTGCAGCCCAGGACAATTACATCTCTCTTTCTCTTCAGGTGCTGGAGGAGGTCTGATCAGTAACTTTGAGCAGCTGGTACGAGGAGTCTGGAAGCCAGAGACCAACGAGCTTCTCAAGATGACCTAGTAAGTCTCCTCTACCAGTGCTCGTACTTGGCTCTGTATGATGTTGTGCACAGAAACCGAGTGATGTAATTGGAGACTCACTGAGTGACACATCTGTCGCTGGCTGGCTGACTGTGTTGACTTTGATCTGTTGTGTGATAAGTCTGTCTTGTGGTGTCTCCCTATTCTGACACGGAAGAGGGAGAGAGAGAGAGGGAGAGAAAAAGAGCAGGAGAGAGAGAAAAAGAGGGAGAGGTAGAGAAAGAGATACTGAATGCCTACCTGCTGTGACTCACAATCTGTTCAGAACCTCAATGGTGAAGTTACTCTCCTTTCTTGTCATGACATCAAAGTTGACCGCTGACCTTTGTGTTTGTGCAGCCCCACTAAGGTCACCCTGATTGGAGCGGTGCTGTTTGCCATGCAGCAGAACCAGTACCTTCCTGTCCAGAAACACCACCTCATGCTGCTCTACACTGTCTTCACCGTCGTCAACAAGGTCAGTCACTGACCTAACCCTGACCCTAAACCTATAGGACTCATATGTTTATCGGACCCAGATCAAGCCTAGACACGGACTACAAAAAGCATACTCAATAGACAATCTCCACTGAAAGTGTTTTTTAAACACAGGAATATGCTTATTCATCTGGGTCTGAGAAAACAGCCAATACATAATGTTTACGGAAGTCAAGCAACATTCTCACAGCATTAAATAGTAGTGTTCGTCATGTTATTTGAATGACCTACCTCATCATTAGCTATGACTCAACATTAGTCTTAGTGTTGCCCCAGCAGGAGATTTTTGTTTCATTTTCATCTTGTTGCATCATTCTTTCTCAATCCTCTCACACTGAGGTCTCCTGCTCTTGACTTCAATAAATCTAACCACAGGTTTTCAGAACTCTCTCAAATGTTAATTTTGAGTTTACCGGTCAACTCACTAAAGTTGCATTTAATCTGATTAGTCATCTGATAAGTAATCTGATAAATCATCTGTTTACCTCCTCATTAGTCATTCTGTAGTAGTCAGTGGATTCTCATCACTCCACCCTGTCTCTCCTTTCCTCTAAATCCTTCCATCCCTCTCTTTCTTTTCAGACAAGGATGATGCTGACCGGCTCCTCTTCCTCACCCTTCGCTCCAATCGAGTCTGTCGTATACAGCACGTTCTTCGCCGGGCCATCACCATCCTCATATACCACCGAGACCAAGACCCTTGTAGTGAAAAAGCCGTCCACAGATAGCTCCACAGCCACAAAGAAGAGCATCAAAGAGGCATGTGAGAGCCTGAAAGTAGCAGCCCCAGGCTCCCCATCCAAGACTGCTGCACACAACAGGGGAAAGGGCTCCCCGAAGAAGGCCAAAGAGCAGCCGGAAAGCACTGAAACAGAGAGCAATAAGAAGAGTGACTAGAGACTGATAGCCCTTATACTGTACTGTACTGTATAGAAATATAATCTATAGAACGGACAGCCACGTAGCACACTGCAATTTGACTGGTTAATTCATGGGTACACTTAATATGGCCGCCAGTCCACCCATTGTTAGTACATTGACTTGAATGGGGATGTCCATTCTATAAATTATATTTCTATGACGTAATGCCCTCCTTATCCTGGCTTGGACAATCAACCCTCCTTATCCCGTGACACTGTCATCCTGTGATAGGTTCCAATTTGCTCACTACCTCACCCCCTTGGTCCTAACCCTTTGATGTGTGTACATCTGTAAGGTGTAAGCAATATGGTGAAAGCTTCACCACTACTTATATACACATCCAGATCCTTCAGATCTTCAAACATCAAAGGGTTATGGCTAGGGTTGCAAAATTCCTGCAACTTTCAATAAATTCCCTGGTTTTCCCGAAATCCTGGTTGGAGGATTCCTGGAATCAAGGAATAAGCAGGAAATCTGGACTCCTCCAACCAGGATTTCTGAAAAGCCAGGGAAATTATTGAACGTTCCAAAAATGTTGCAACTCAAGTTATGGCCAAGTGGGAGGAAATTGGGGACCGGCTGAATGAGTGCAAATATAATCTATGCTGATTTTAATATATTATACAGTAAATGTATCTATATTTTACTATTTATATTGAAACTTGATAATCCTTGTCTAATTATGCGTTGATGAATCTTTTGCTAAGGGATTTTGGTGAAGAATACTGTCCATGATGCTGATCCATGACTGTCAGCCACAAATATTCTGTTTTATTGACCTGTATTTCCTACTATGAAATGTTTTAAGATTTTACATACAGAGAGTTTATATAATTATTACTCAGATGTTCTACTCTATTTATACTCAAGGAAATGCACTTGAATTACACATTTCTAAATGGAATACTTTTTGCTACACTTACTCTTTTGTGAATGCTTTAAAGTCTATTGAATGCTTCAATAGTAAATGATCACATGCACTTTAATCTGAGTCCTTGTAATCCTTATACAGTAACAACCGAAATGCAAACACTTGGACATTTGAAAACATTTGTATGATAAAACCTTTAGTTCATAACCTTTAAGTTCATACAAAGATGTTCAGATTGGAGAAATGTTTTCAGATACAGCGTCTCCATGCTCTGTTGAGTCAGTTATGAGTTCTATTCGACATACCGGTAATGTATTTCTTCAATTATGTTCTCACCTGTAACAATGGGTCTATTTCTCTTATTATTGTTAGCTGTGGTCATGTCCAGGGCAAGATACATTACACAAGGCAAAGGAAAGGTCAGATTTAACTGAAGAAATACACACATCAATATCTCAGCCTGCTTTTATTTCACAATGGAAATGAGGTGTATTTCTTTTAATTTAAGATGCACTCTAGGATCTTTAGCACAACAAATTCATAACATATAAGAATAGCAAAAAAAGGAAATATACAGTACCAGACACAAGTTTTGACACACCTACTCATTCAAGGGTTTTTCTTTATTTTAAAAATTTTTTACATTGTGGAATAATAGTGTTGATGTCTTCACTATTATTCCACAATGAAATAACACATATGGAATGATGTAGTAAACAAAGTGTTAAACAAATCAAAATATATTTTATATTTGAGATTCTTCAAATAGCCACCCTTTTGTCTTGATGACAGCTTTGCACACTGTTGGCATTCTCTCAACCAGCTTCACCTGGAATGCTTTTCCAACAATCTTGAAGGAGTTCCCACATATGCTGAGCACTTGTTGGCTGCTTTTCCTTCACTCTACCGTCTGACTCATCCCAAACCATCTCAATTGGGTTGAGGTCGGGGGATTGTGGAGGCCAGGTCATCTGATGCAGCACTCCATCACTCTAATTCTTGGTCAAATAGCCCTTACACAGCCTGGAGGTGTGTTAGGTCATTGTCCTGTTGAAAAACAAATGATAGTCCCACTAAGCGCAAACTAGATGGTATGGCGTATCGCTGCAGAATACTGTGGTAGCCATGCTGGTTAAGTGTGCCTTGAATTCTAAATAAATCACAGACAGTGTCACTAGCAAAGCATCCCCACACCATCTCCTCCATGCTTTACGGTGGGAACTACACATGCAGATATTTGTTACTTTTTTTTATATTTAACCTTTTTTTTAACATCAGCAAACCAATTAAGAACAAATTCTTATTTACAATGACAGCCTACCCCAGCCAAACACGGACAACGCTGGGCCAATTGTGCGCTGCCTTATGGGACTCCCAATCACGGCCAGATTGTGATACAGCCTGAAATCGAAACAGGGTCTGTAGTGACGCCTCTAGCACTGAGATGCAAATCTCCAATTTGGACTCCAGACAAAAGGACAAATTTCCACCGGTCTAACGTCCATTGCTCGTGTTTCTTGGCCCAAACAGGTCTCTTCTTATTATTGGTGTCCTTTAGAAGTGGTTTCTTTGCAGCAATTCGACCATGAAGGCCTGATTCACACAGTCCTCTGAACAGTTGATGTTGAGATGTGTCTGTTACTTGAACTCTGTGAAGCATCTATTTGGGCTGCAATTTCTGAGGCTGGTAACTCTAATGAACTTATCCTCTGCAGCAGAGGTAACTCTGGGTCTTCCATTCCATGAGAGCCAGTTTCATCATAGCACTTTATGGTTTTTGCGACTTCACTTGAAGAAACTTTCAAAGTTCTTGAAATGTTCAGTATTGACTGACCTTCATGTCTTAAAGTAATGACATACTCTTGTTTCTCTTTGCTTATTTGAGCTGTTCTTGCCATAATTTGGACTTGGTCTTTTACCAAATAGGGCTATCTTCTGTATACCCCCCCTACCTTGTCACAACACAACTGGCTCAAACACATTAAGAAGGAAAGAAATTCCACAAATTAACTTTTAAGAAGAAACACCTGTTAATTGAAATGCATTCCAGGTGACTACCTCATGAAGCTGGTTGAGAGAATGCCAAGAGTATGCAAAGCTGTCATCAAGGAAAAGGGTGTCTATTTGAAGAATCTCAAATATAAAATATATTTTCATTTGTTTAACACTTTTTTGGTTACTACATGATTCCATATGTGTTATTTCATAGTTTTGATGTCTTCACTATTATTCTACAATGTAGAAAACAGTAAAACATTTTAGAAAAACCCTTGAATGAGTAGGTGTGTCCAAACTTCTGACTGGTACTGTATGTATTGTTTTGTTGTTGCAGGATGTAACATATCATACGAAATTGATTATGTAGTACACAATTTGGTGACGTGGCACACAAAAAACAGGGACCACTTTTGGCTCATGAGCACCACTTTCAAAACTACTGGCTGAAATTATACCAAACTTTGAGAGTGGATCTTTAAGCAGTGTGCAATAATGCTGCCCTTATATGTGTCTCTGTCTATTGGTTGTATTTGCCCTAATGGAACTCACATATGTAACCTTTCTTCTATCCGTAAGACAAAGAGTGAAACATTGCATCATTGTAGCATCAGAACTTGATTGAACCTCACCCACTTTCACAACCTTAGGAAAATAAATCCTGAAATCCTGAAATCCTTCAAGTTCACAAAATAACCTCTAAGAGTTTGGAAAGGAGTCCCACAGGAATACAAATTACGAACAGAGGTGGTGTTCAAACTCTAGTCGTAAAGGAGTCTTATAGCAGATATCTGTATGTAATGCTCACGGTCCACAGAGGTGCCACCACCTCTGCATGTCAATTAGAGTGCCATCTCTCAGTGTGTGTGTGTGTGTTTATGACCACTTCTGCTAGTGCTTGCGTTCATGCTCAGTGTGTATGTGACTCTCAGGGTGAACTCTGAGTCCCGGGAAGTCAAAGTCACATTTCCCTCTCTCTCTCTGTATCTCTCTCTCTCTAGTATGATGCAAGTGGATGACAGCTCCACTCCTAGCAAAGCGAAGGCTTCCAGACAATTCCTTAATGAGGGCCTTTAATGGCACACAAACACACTCCGGTTGCGTGGCCCCCAGCGAGAGGGCCGGGCAGGGGGCATGGGATAAGCAAAGGGCATGGCATGTTGTGCGTTAGGACTGTCAGGTTGTCTCTCTGTGTCAAACACACAGGAGACAGGAGATTAGGCTGGAATGGCAGCAAAGTTAAATACAGGGATTGTGTCCCAAATGGCACACTATTCCCCATACGGCTCTGGTCAAAAGTAGTGCACTATGTAGGGAATAGGGTGCTCTTTGGGACGCAACCAGGGTCAGGGAGAGGAGGGTTTAGCTATCAGGGAATATGATATATTGACACCAGCAATTACCTGGAGGTTATTTCTATAGGGTTAAATCGACTTACTGTATCGCAACACCATGTCAACAGTTACTGCTTCTGCTTGTCTGTTTTTGAGTGGTGAGGGGCTCTATTCAATCTGTATTGCAGAAGCATTACAGATTAGGTGGTAACAATTTAAAGATAATTTCCAATTGAGCCGACATATGCAGAGTTTACGGTGTAATGCTGAATTTCAGCAATACATATTGAATCAGGCCTGAGATTACTGAAAAAACTAGATAAATATATTTAACAAAAATATAAACGCAGCCTCCCAATTGGCGCAGCGGTCAAAGGCTGATAAAACTCTGGGTTTGCACAACCAAATAATTTCTGCACAAACTGTCAGAAACCGTCTCAGGGAAGCTCATCTGCATGCTAGTCCTCTTTACCAGGCATTTGACCTGACTGCAGTTCGGCGTTGTAACCGACTTCAGTGGACAAATGCTCACCTTCGATGGTCACTAGCATGATGGAGAAGTGTGATCTTCACGGATGAATCCCAGTTTCAACTGTACGTTTCAACTGTACCGGGCAGATGGCAGACAGCGTGTATGGCGTCATGTGGGCGAACGGTTTGCTGATGTCAACGTTGTGAACAGAGTGCCCCATGGTGGCGGTGGGGTTATGGTATGGGCAGGCATAAACTACAGACAACGAAGACAATTGCATTTTATCGATGGCAATTTGAATGCACAGAGATACCGTGAGGAGATTCTGAGGCCAATTGTCTTGCCATTCATCCACGCCATCACCTCATGTTTCAGCATGATAATGCACGGCCCCATGTCACAAGGATCTGCACACAATTCCTGGAAGCTGAAAATGTCCCAGTTCTTCCCTGGCCTGTATACTCACCAGACATGTCACCCATTAAGCATGTTTGGGATACTCTGGAACGACGTTTACGATAGCGTGTTCCAGTTCCCGCCAATATCCAGCAACTTCGCACAGCCATTGAAGAGTGGGACAACATTCCACAGGCCACAATCAACAGCCTGCTCAACTCCATGCAAAGGAGAAGTGTCGCGCTGCATGAGGCAAATGGTGGTCACACCAGATACTAACTTGTTTTCTGATCTACGCCCCTACCTTTTTTTAGGTATCTGTGACCAACAGATGCATATCTGTATTCCCAGTCATGTGAAATCCATAGATTAGGGCCTAATGAATTTATTTCAATTGACTGATTTCCTTATATGAACTGTAACAGTAAAATCTTTGAAATTGTTGCATGTTGCGTTTATATTTTTGTTCAGTGTATGCAATCTGAAATGACTTTTTAATTAAATCAGTATTTAAATAAGTACATACTGTATATTTGAGACAAGGAGAACACTGTATTATCCCTTGATCGTGTAGTGCTTACTATAGAATTTTGTAGTATACTGTAGAATACTATACTACACACTGTAGTATCCTTCGATCGTGTACTTGTCACACTCTGGCTCCGGGACTTGTATTTGAGCCAGGGTGTATTCGTTTTGTTGGGGTTTGTTTTGGTTAGGTTGGGAATAGGGTGTGTTCATTTGGGTGTGTGTGGTTTTGGTTAGTTCTTGTGTAGTCATGTGACTCCCAATCGGAGGTAACGAGTGTCAGCTGTCGGCTCGTTATCTCTGATTGGGAGCCATATTTATCTGTATGTTTTCCTTTGGGTGTTGTGGGTTTTTGTTCCGTTTCGGTCAGTATACCGTGGACTTCATGAG